TTTTCACAGCATTTCATTACCAAAATACTTCAGACACATTTGTGTCCCCTACCTGTATAGAGAACATAAATAAGTTACATATACTAAAATATATATCCAAAAAATAAAGTATATATTCAAGCAGACTAACTTGGGTAGTAATTCCTCTGGCAATTAACTCATCTGCATGACCAAGGGTCTCTTTTATAAACTTTTTCAGATAAACTTGGTTTTAATTCTGTCGCATTCAGGGACATTCAGGGAAGCTTACTGATGGGTCATGGTACATGGTTTCTATATGCCAGTCTTTGTGAGCAGTGTGCATAATTCTGCCCAGGAAAAAAACAAACAGTAAAACAAGCAAAAAACAAACCCTAAATCCCACATGCTAAATAGCAAAATACTGAGGAATGACTACCAAAAAATATACACTGCAAAATTTAAATCCTGAGTAAAAAGCTGGTTTTTTTAAGAGACAAGACTGAATGAAGAAGAATAGCCAAGTGGATTATCAGTAGATGGATCAAGAGCTTGGTAATGAATAAATAATATCAGGAAAGATCACCTATGAAAGGCCATGAAAGTAAAGATGAATAATTTGCTTGGTGCAATAAAAGTTACCACTGGGTAAATAAGCTAAGCAGATGCATTCTGAAGAGCTATGATGGGACTACAGCACATGTTCAGAAGGCTACAGAAAAAACATGATGACAGTTTAGTGAGATTTAGCTACATGGAAAGACTGTATCATAATGCATCTTAATTTTATCATGTAAAGAAACCAAGAAAAATTCAGACCCAGGCTGATCGAAGTATTCTTCTTTTATGAGTATGGGTATGAGTCACACAAAGAACCCACAAATAATTCTATTGTGACAGGTCAATGGATGAAGAAAAAAAGAAAAAGAAAAAGAAAAAGAAAAAGAAAAAGAAAAAGAAAAAGAAAAAGAAAAAGAAAAAGAAAAAGAAAAAGAAAAAGAAAAAGAAAAAGAAAAGACCTGCCTTTAACCATGAACTGTTAAACATGAACTCTTTATCTGTTTATTACCCACAATGACATGGATATAATGGTTAAGACACTAAACTTTGATGTCTGTCTCATCAGTGTCTACACTTGAGCCCTTCCCTGTTACACTCAGAGGAAACTTATTAATATAATTAATCAACCTTAACAAAGCAGATGGTTAGATTTAGTCAGATGAATCACGCCTGTGGTGGGTTGATTCTAGCCAGCGGTTAAGTTCCCATCCAGCCACTCACTCCTCCTCAAAGGATGCAGGAGAGAATCAGAAAAGCACAAGTGAGAAAACTTGTCAGTCAAGATTGACAACTTAATAAGTGAATGAAAGAAAAGAATACAAGTGATGTAAATGCAGTCATTCACCACCTCTCACAAGCACAGAATCACAGAATAAACTAAGTTGGAAGGGATCTATAAAGATCATCAAGTCCATCAACTCCTGGCCCTGCCCAGAGCACCCCAAGAGTCACACTCTGTGCCAGAGAGCATTGTCCAAATGCTTCTTGAACTCTGACAGGCTGGTGCTGTGACCAGTTCCCTGGGGAGCCTGTTCCTGTGCCCAGCAACCCTCTGGCTGAAGAACTTTTTCCTGATATGCACCCTAAACCCCTCCTGACTCAGTTTCCTCAAGTCCTGTCCCTGGTCACCAGAGAGAACAGATCAGTGCCTGCCTTTCCACCTCCTCTCAAAGCATATTGAGGTTTTCCCTCAGTCTCCTCTTCTGCAGGCTGAGCAAACTAAGTGACCTCTGCTGCTCCTCATCTGGCTTCCTCTCAAGGCCCTTAATCATCCTCCTTACCCTCCTTTGGATGCCCTCTAATAACTTAATGTTCATTAACTCCCATCAACTAAGTCTTCATTGACCAGTGAAGGACACAAAAGCAGCTTGCTGAGAACTGCTTACCTGCACCACTAAAGCAGACCCTTTGTTTAATAGCATGATTTCAGTTTGGAAAGGAAAAAGGTTAGGCACTTATGAGACATCTACATGGATCTAGCAGTTGAATTTGTTTGCAAGGATGAGGGATACAAAATTAAATGGAAAGACTCTTCAGAGAATGACTGTTGATGGGGTATTAATAAGTTTTAAAGGGAAAGGGAAGAGGACAATGAATGTTACTCCAACAAGAAAGTTAGGGATTTATTTTGTTAATTTAGAGACATATTGCTCTGGTCTATCAATATCAGAGTTTTGAGAAGTTTTGGAGACAAATTATGTAGTGATTACCACAACATAAAAGCTCAAATTTCTTAACTTCCTATTACAGTGTATAGCAAACTTCAAGACTGCATCATGATGTTCATTTTAGATTTAAAGATTATTTTTTCAACCTTAGGTATCAAAGTAAGAATAAGGATTCTTTGTCAGCATTATTAAATTATACTTGGAACTAATATTAAATAGCTGGAACTGATGAAGCCTGATTTCTTTTACTAGTTTTGACTTGTGGCTGGCTGGCTTTGCTGTCTGAGACTGTGCAAGTCCAGCTAGACCTTTGTGCCAATTGGTGTATTTGAAAAGGCTTTTTTTTGTTAGAACTTGTAGGGTCTTTTCCTACGTGATATTTTCATAAAATTTTTAGAAACATAATTATCTTTGACATTTCTTTCTCCATATTCTGTAGAAGTAGATAAAGGACTTTAAAACTAGGGGATACATACAGAGAAAATACAAGTATTGTCTCATAAGGTAAAGATCCCTGAATTTTGGGACTTCTGAATTAATATTTATTTATTATTTTTAGCAGACAATGAAACAACTACAGGAACATTTTCAGAATGACTGCTTGGTTTCAGCAATGACTCTTTCATCACAAATGCCCAGCAGTACATTATGATAGTCCCATGCCTTCACTTTCCATCTTGTTACACCCCTCAGTCTCCTTTTCCCCAGCCCAGTTTTGTTGCTTTCACTACAGCACAGTAAGGACAGTGACTTTCATCTTTTCTTCCTTACAATACAAAGGGAAATCAGCAATTTTATCTAAAATTTAGATTAGAAGTGGGAACACAAACACATTACACGAGATCAGAGCAGTTGCCAACCTGAATAGTCTGAATATGATCAATACCAGATGAGTAAGAAATCCCACAGAAGGAAATTATGAAAAACACAGCTCATTTGCAAGGCCTTTCTTAATTATTCTCAAGCTATTGGACTGCTCTCCACCCTGGAGTTTGCAGTTTTCATCACTCAGAAAACTGCTGCATATGAATACAACTGTACAATTTTCCAAATATTCCCATTACTCAGGTTTATTTCCTTATACTTGGATTTGCCTAAACCTGTTGCTGAGGTTGACACTATGCTCAACAAATCAATTATCACCAATTACCTTTTTTTCCTACTATTTTTAGAATTTCTGCCTTGCATTGCATTACAAAATTTCTTGGTTTATCTTGAGGGTGGAAGAAAACAGGCACAATATGACCTCCCAATATTTGGGGTTTTTTTGGCTTTGTGCTATATAACAAATGGAACTTGTTTTCATCCATCTGAAAATATTAGGATAGTGCTGGTAACTGGAATGCTTACAACACTAGTAAAAGGGCTTATATTTGCATTCAAATTAAAGCACCACAAACATGATGAAATGCTTTTAACTCTCTTCCTATTTCATCCCCTAAAATCATTCCAAAATCTTGAGAAGCAGCAAGCAGAGAAAGAAAAAACAGATTGGGAGTTTCTAAGTATTTCTTTTTGAACAGCATAAAATAAGGATAAAATTGTTTCTAGAGTACTTATAAATAAACCAGAAAACACAAACCTGGATTTTCTGTCTTCACAGATTTATCTGTGACAGTAAACAACTTCTTGGTACAAGAGTCAAACATTAAAAGCCTGGCTAAAACTACCAGCACTGCAGAAATGCTGTTTAACATAGCATTTTTTATGAATTTCAACATACTGTTATTAGCAGCATTTTAATTACAATTGTTGCACACATACCAGTGAAATTAGATACATTGCAGAGTTACAGTATTAAGGTTCCCAAAGTTAAATCATGCCAATGCAGATGTTCCTAATTACTCTAAAAGCACAAATACTTATACAAATCAGTTGTTTCAAGTTGCAGCATAATTCAATTAAAGGAGTGTTTAACAACATGAATGATAGTTAAGCCCACTTAATATGGAAGACTGTTAGAAAACAATAGATGTCATTCACATGAAGGAAGGAGTTAAAGTCCATCTGAGATAAGAAGCTGTGATTTGTCTGAGACAAATATAAGAGATTATCATAAGAAGGTGACACTATCAAAGACACATCAAAATCTGACAAAAGCATTTATTTCCTCACAGGAATCACTTTACTAAGCAAGATGGAACTTAAAGTTTCTGCAGCTCATTGTGCAGGGTTTGGGAAGCTTTTCCTTTTTTCTGCCTTTTTTTCTCTCTTTTTTTTTTTTTTTAGCTGTAAAATGGAGTCTAGCTCCACCCCTGCTTTGTATTGCTGCTTGAAAAGAGGTGTGGTAGGTAATGCAATACAGCATTAAATCAGCACACAAGCTATGGATGCCACAGATCCTCTCCCCGGATAATGTCTCTGGCAGGAACACTCTTTAGGCACAGAAAGTTGTGACCTCTTCCTGCTGTGTTTTGGAATTTTACAGGTAATAGTATCATGCATGTGTTTATCTCACAACAGCATACTTTATAGTGCAATTATCATCGAGTTATATTTTGTTTTCCATGTGAAATAGAGAAAAAGATGGTCATTTAACTGATAAAGCATTGTATATAATATATATTGTGTATGAATGGAGTTACTGCTCTCTCACCTTCCATATTCAATGTTTGAAAAAATGTCAAAGGATAAATAGTAAAGTTCCACAGAAATTACCTGAAGTATCACAATGCATTTCTTTCCATATTTACATATCCACTCTATAAATGAGTTAAGACTATATATTTTTCCTTGTATTTTTATTTGGATTCAATCAACATTAGATATGACCAGACAAACTTAAAATATTAATTTGAAATGAGTTAACTGTACCTTGAGTCACCTGTTGGATGGCTAGCATCATCCCAGAAACAGTATCAGGAACCAAATTTTCCTTCCAGTTGTAGACAGGCGCCCATGTCAAGATAGGCAGCCTTCTCATACACCAGGCTTTGATATCTTCAAAGCGAACAGCCTGGATCTTCCTCCAGACTGTACTTCTCTTCCTTTTTGCCCCTGTCATCATTCCTACCCCACAAAAGCAGTGCCTCTGTCAGAAGAGTGCACTGTTGAGGAATCACCCTGATCTCTGTCAGTGTCCAGTTTTCTTCTGAGATTTTTCAGTTCCAAACTACAAAGAAAAAAAAATGAACAGAAGCACTTAAGATTTCTGCAGCTGTTCTGTAACTATACTCAATGAAAACACTTTTAAGTGCTTCAATCATATAAACAGCTACATTAAATGCAAGAACTGTCTACAGCAAAGATCCCATTTTCTGCTGTTTGCAAAAATTTGGTCTAGTCTCACGTTAGTTTGTGATTCTTTCCAGTAACTTCCCGCTTTATATCCCTGTAATGCTTGTGCTTTTGGCCTCATTCCAGTGGCAAAATGAGGTATTACTGGGTGTGTGTGTGATATAGGCTGGGCTATGCTAATCTGAGCAAGAAGTGCCCAGCAGAGCAGGCATCTCCCTGCCAAGCCTGGGAGAGCAGCCTTGTCCCTCCTGGGGGAGCTTTTCTGGCCACAGGCGGGAGGCATTAAGATCTCAGTAAAGCTCGTGCTAGAAGACTTGTCTTACTCCATCAGCATTTTGTCTTCTAAATGACACAAAAAGCTTGTTTATGTAGCAAATGCAGAACATCAGGTAGCAATAAGCCTTACCAGAAACATACACAGAATCTCTCTGTAGGCTGAAACCTCAAACTTCAGAGTAACAAGCTCAAAGCGCAGCGAGGGACTGCAAGGTATCAGCTTCACATGGGCAGTGCCAAAAATTCTTGCGAGAATCATTCTTGTTCAAAGCTAGTCCTTTCTGCTCTTGGCTGTCCACTCAGCAAAGGCTCTCTCAGCACAGACTGTTCACCCAGTAACATTTGTTCTTGTAATAATGTCATGCACCTTGAGTACGATACAAAGTGCTCAGACACAAAGTGATAGGGACATAGAGGAGCTTTAAATGTTCAGGCATTTAAATGCCTTGACTGCTATGGAGCAAGGACACAGTAAGCTTTCCTCTAAGTTTTCTGTATCTCTGGATGGCAAAGAAATTTAAGTTGAAATGCAAGATCCATTATATGGGTGAAGTGTCTTCCCAATCACTGTTCTGTAGTAAGCAATAAAAATCAATATATTTTTTAAATATTTCCTTTTTTAAAAATAGAAATTAATTTACATTTTAATGTTTAGATTAAAGCAAAAAAACCCTGAAGCATTTTCCATCCAAAACAATTTTAGAAAAATGAGACTGCTTCCAAATGCAACAGGTAGACTGGCACAAAGACAAATCATCAGCATCAAGTCATTCTGCTGAGTGACATTCAGTTGATGTCCACAACTGTGTCCCATAGCATTGCAAAGATAAAAAGAAAAAAGGAAGAGAAAGAAAGAATTTCTTAGCATGAGACAGACCCTTACTTTTAACTATTCCTGGCATACTTACTCTTTGCCCTGCCCACCCATTAACAACATACACTTTTTAAAGACAGGTAATCTTACTTCTGTTCATTAGAATAAAACCTCTAAGCATCAATTATTTTCATTTATTCTTTTTGTGGTTTGTGTTTTTTGTTTTCTTTGGGTTTTTTTTAACTTGAAAATGCAGTTCAAGGATTTCATAATTGAGACATTTATGCCTGCCAAGTTTTCACAACACAAATCTTTTCTTTCAAAAGTGGGAAGTGGACAGGAATCCACTATGTGAGCTACAATGAGAGGTACTCAGCAGTCAGGTGCTGCTTAGTTTTGACGAAATGTTCAGTACTTCTAACTATGACAGTATTTACCATGAAATAAAAATCAAAATACATTTCTACACATAAGTATGCATGTGCAAAAATATCCCCAAATATAGGTACTTTTGTAAAAAAGCCAAAGAGCCGGGCCTCTTTTTTTTTTTTTATCATCGTCTGCTAAAAGCTCTGGATATTCTGAACAGGTAAAAAACCCACAGTGGGAAACCAAAGAACCATGGCTAAACACACAAGAACATATTCTTCAGTCCTCAAAGTTCTTGCACCAAAATGCTGATGATGTTTGAGAAGGTCTGTAATTGAGATTTTCCCACCTCCTGATTGCAGAGTCAGTTAAACTGGACAAGTTTACCTCATTCCCAGATTAGTATTTGAACACGTAGGATTTCCATTATCAACAGATATTATCCCCTACCAATAACAAAAGATGGTATCTTTCTCTAAGTGTGTGCATGCATGAGTTCAAACATCCTACAGCTGTTGTGGAATTTTTGTGGAAACTTTGTTTAACCCCAACAATAATTTTTGATAAGTAAAAAACTGCATTATCCATAAATCTGAAGTTGATAATACTATCACTATTGAAATACATTCTTCATTGTAACTCTGAAATTAATAAATAATCCTAGTTACCTGTGACACAAAGCAACATTTCAGTTACAAACCCCCAGAGAAATCAACATTTTTAAGGGAAAACTGATATATAAGTATGTATAACAATCCTGTACCTCACTACAAAATATTACAGCCTTTGAATCTTAAAGAAACATAAAATCCCCTCCACTTTCCTAGAACACTTCAGTATCCTAATGGAAACACATTGTATCACACACACAGTGTTTAAACTCCTTCCCATTAGCTGTTATAAATCTTTAGTCTATACACTCCCAGACCATGCAGGCTTTCCACAGGTTGAATTGTTTCATGATGTACCTGAGCTATCAGGATTCTGAGACCCCCTCTTGCTCTGAAGCAAGTGAATAAAACTTCATTTTCTGGAACAACAAAGGATAAGCATGAGAAACCTTTGGTTTTATACATTTAAGTCGCTGTATTCTCACATACTTTTGTAATATTAGATGCTTCACAAATAGCTTTTTTGATGATCTCATATGAGTAAAACCTATCTTCAAGTGATTACCATAGTAGTTTCTTTGTTTGTTCTGGAAATGCATAAAAATTTAATTCTAGCAGAATATTTATGTAAAATGCTAAAAAGATAATTACCATAAGTCAAAAATTAGAATACAGATAGTATATAGAAGGAGATAATTATGGCATCATGAATCAGATATGGTGGGCTTTTAAATCCTGATTTGCAACAAGTTCCAAAAATAAATGGGCTAACCTCAGCTCCTCTAACATTTACATACATGGGAAGTTTACAAACATGGTGGATATATGAAGAAAGGGGTTTGATTCTCTAGTCCTGGCCTCAAAGAGTTAAAAAAATAATAATCTGACCCCTTAGTCCAATTTAGACTCCAAAAGGAAAAAATTGTGGTAAACTCTTACAGAGAAGCCCTAAACCCCAGTTCATACGGAAGCACGAAAATCTTTGAAGGAAATCTTTGGATTCTTGCATGAGAACTGACTTTAGATGTCACATAAACTGGCAGGCAAGTTCAAAAACTACACTTATGTGTACAGACACTCATAGAACTTAAATGATGTTATTCACACCTCAGACAGGCATAGATGGAAAAATTGAACATGTGGAGTCTCCCTCACTGGAGATACCCAAGAACCATCTGGACACAATCCTGTTCTGTGTGCTCTGGGATGGCCCTGCTCGAGCAGGGAGGTGGGACCAGATGACCCACTGTGCTCCCTTCCAACCTTGTCCATTCTGTGCTTCTGCAGTGGGACTTGATCTTCGTAAGTTTTATCAGGAAGGAACTAAATATCTGCAAACATCCAGCATTAAACCAGTTTGAACTAACTGAACCTGTGCTCCTGCTGCTATGCATAATTTTTTCCCCTCAAGAACATCCAGAGCATCCAACTCACTTCCTGAAGTTCTCCTTTCCACCATCACTGGGTAAAGGGAAGGATGTGCTGTCATTAATCCAAAACTACAAACATCTTCTGGCTGGTCACTGGCAAAAACATATTGGATCTTAAGATTTAGATCTTAATATATAATGAATACATAATGATTGAGCTTTCCTCACCTTTCTATTCTGTGCAGAAACTAATTGCTGTTCATCATTGTCCTCTATCCTGACCAAAAATTTTTATGAACTCAGTTTTGGTACTGCTCTGTTTCTGTCAAATAAGTTAAGTATGGCTAAAGGAATAAGGTGATACTAAATGAAGAACTTAGGAAAATAAGACAGGCAATCTTGGTCACATAAAGCTTGTGTCCTTAACAACTATGGCTAAAATTCCTAGACAATCTTTTCCTATGAAAAATTTAAAGTATTTTGACAAAGCACAACTGGATAGGAATGAAAGTCAAGTTTTAAAAAGAGGGTGATAGGAAATAATTTAGAGAGACCAAATTGTGCAGTTCTTATATTGCAGAATGTAGCACATGGGAATATAATACAAGCTACTAGATTTAAAACAGAGTTCTGACAAATGCAACAACACAAAAATAGTGATAGAAATCCACAGGTCAAAACAGCGTTCCTGAATTTTGAGAATTTGTAAAAAAGTAGGTTATCAACCACATGTATTACATAAACCTGGGTTAAACCACAACATTAGGCAGAGAAGAAGCGTATGTGTAAGTATGCAAATCATTTATTAATGATATTTAAATATCTTCCTCCTCTAAAATTCTGCTGTATCAAAGCCAGACAAAATCCACAAACTCAAAAGCTTGCCAATTTATCTCCCATGCTTGGATGCAATGCAGTTTCAGTAATAATTAACTTCAAAACCACCGATTTCAGTCACCAATTATTTGAATGTGGACCTAAACTGAGAAAGATATGATTCTCACCCTTCACAAAACACATAAAGCTATAATCTCCATCCCCTCATCATACAGATAATTTACAAGACTATGGGGACAGTAACACCGAGTCAACACAGAAGCCAGGCATGGCTCAAAAGGCTTGGGCTCCACTTAAACATCTTCCCTGTAAAATGGACTTTTCAGCTCTTTTAAGGACGCTGTGCTAGCAAAACTCGGTGAAGCAACACTGACATCGAGCGGCTTCGCCTGGTATTTCCCTTCGGCTATCGCAGGATGCGAGAGCGCTGCTCCCATCTGACGCTGTGCCGTTGAACTGGATGATATTAACTATATAATTCATTAACACAGTT